ATTTTTTCAACCTCTTGTTCACATTGATTGCTGCGGGGATCAAAGTGAGATAGAATTGTCTCATTCTAAGAAATTCTATCTTATTTTTCAGGATATAGTTTTTCTCCTCCCAAAGTTGAGAAAGTCATTTCATCAAAATGACAATCTGCAAAACGTGCAGTAAATAAGTCACCTGTTAAAGGTTCAAGATATCTAATAATAGATGGTGAATCAAAACTCACATAAATCCCAAGTCTTCGTTGGGGACCCATTTTAGTACGTTGTGGGGGTGAAATAGAAACTTGGACAGCACAACCAAAAACCCGTAGGTGAGAAATATCATGTTCATGACCAAATGCAAGTTGTAAAGGTGAATATTGATGATAGGCAATTGGTCTTATACGAACCAATGATGCAGCATGTAATATGGCATGACCTCAAACAGAAGTTGGGAGTTTTGTTTTCATAAGTAATGGTCTAACAATAAGTTGTAGACGTTTAATAAACGATTTCGCTAAGCCATTTTGTGTATGAACATGTGCAACTGTATGTTCAATTTCAATCCCAATTGACATACACTAATCATCAAATGCTTGTGATCTAAATTCATGAGCATTGTCAAGACGAATAGTCTTGATTGAGTAATCGGGGAATTGTGCTCGCAATTTTATGATTTGAGCAAGTAGTCTAGCAAATGCTACATTCCCAGTTGAAAGTAGGCAAACATGTGACCATCTTGTAGAAGAATCAATTAATACCATAAAGTAACGAAATGGTCCACATGGTGGGTGTATTGGCCCACATATATCTCCATGTATTCTTTTCAAGAAAGTTAGAGATTCAATATTGACCTTTGTAGTTGAAAGTCTAATAATTAACTTGCCTTGCGAACAAGTTACACATGGATAATCATTAGATAAAAGAATTTTCTAGTTCTTTAAAAGATGTCCATGTGAGTTGTTTATTATTCGACGCATCATTATGGCTTCTGGATGTCCAAGTCGATCATGCCAAAGTATAAAACTTTTTGAATCAACGAATTTCTGGTTTGTAACATTATTTGATTCGACCATTTTTATAAATGTAAAATACATGCCAGACGGGAGTGCATGAAAATTTTCTTTTATCTGCTTCTTACCAGATACAAAAGAAGTGATGCAAAGATATTCAATATTATTTTCTTACATCGTCTCAATGTGATATTCACTGCAGCGAATATCTTTAAAACTAAGCAAATTTCTTCTGAATTTGCTAGAATAAAGTGCATCGTCAATATATAATTTTGTATTATTTGGTAAAATAATACAAGCTCTTTCAGAGCCTTCAAAGATATTCTACGCACCCGATATCGTGTTAACATTATTTTCAGCTAATATTAAGTCTAAAAGTATTTTTTGTCTTGAAGAATAGTATGTGTAGCTGCACTATCAATTAAGCAATTGTCTTGACTATCCATCATAAATCTATAAATATAACAAAATAAACAAAATTTTAAAAAAAAACTTGAATTTAGATTTAAAGAAGTAAATATTACTTAATATCATGAAATAAACGGTGCATAATAGAGTTTTATTTTATTTTATTTTTTGTTCGGAAAAGTAAAAACATATTTCAGACTGAATTTTTAAAACGAAAGAAATACTAGTAAATTAATCTATATCTTTTATCACACCACCCTCAACCAAATGGTCAATATGTTCATTTGGATCAGTAAAGAAATCGGAGACATCCAAATGAGTCACATCAATTGGACCATCATAATCAGCAAAATTAGTCTCCAATTTTTCTTTTTCCTTGATTGATCTCTAGTAGAGATCCACAAGATATTTTGAGGTACAACACGTACGTGCCTAATGCACTTTCATTCCACATCTAAAACAACTTTCTTCATGCTCATTTTTAGATTTACCACTCTCGTTTGCTTTGTGCCTTTTGAATTTATTGCCTTGTTGTTGATAACTTTGTTGATTATTTCTTCCATGATTTATTCCACGTACACGTCCGTATCCGTGTCCACGTCCAAATCCGTGTCCACGTCTACGTCCACGTCCTTGTCTTGATATTGTATTTGCTTCAGATAATGTAGTACCATTTGCTTCAGGCAATGGTATAGAACCAGTTAGACGTAATCCATGATTTTTTATCAACAATTCATTATTTTGTTCAGCAACTAGTAGGCAAGATATAAATTCTGAATACTTTTTGAAACCACGCTCACGATATTGCTGCTGCAGGAGCACATTCGAGGCATGAAAGGTGGAGAAAGTTTTTTCCAGCATATCTTCATCGGTGATTTTTTCTCCACACAAAGTTAACTTTGAACATATTCTGAACAATTCAGAATTGTATTCACTAACTGTTTTAAAGTCTTGCAAACGAAGGTGTATCCACTCATAACGGACTTTGGGGAGGACTATAGTCCTCTGATGATCAAATTTTTCATTTAACTTTTTTCAAAGAACTTGTGGATCTTTCTCAATGAGATATTCAATTTTTAATTCATCATGAAGATGGTGACGGAGGAAAATGAGTGCTTTTGCACGATCCTGCAGGGATTCATTGTTTCCTTCTTTTATTGTCTCTCCCAGACCCTTTGAGACGAGATGGATATCAACATCCAGTATCCATGACAGATAATTTTTGCCAGATATGTCAAGTGCAGCAAACTCAAGTTTCGTAATGTTTGCCATTTGTTTAACTACACAATAAAAAAATACAATTAGTTTCGAAGAATATGATTAATCATCACGTGTTAATCAAATAGTCAATATCAACATAACTTTAAGTTACGTATTTTCCTCTAGGGATAAACACTAATTTGAAATAATATGTTCTTCAAAATATATGCTACTTCTGGAGCACATTATATTTTGCTATTATTTCTTCAAGTGCAATATGTCAATATTCTTCTGAAATATTGAGAGTTATAATTTATGCTCTTCAGGAGCAAATAATATTCTTATAATGTTGTGCTACTTCTGGAGCAACAACGAATAGATCTATGATTAATATTCTTCTGAAATATTAATTATAATGTTGTGCTACTTCAGGAGCAACAACAATTAAAAATAAATTTAACGTAATGTTTCATAACTAAACATAAAAAAAATGATAATACATCCAATAGCTCACCATTAATTAATATACAAACACATGTAAAATATTATTTTGAATTAATAACGTGAGTCGAGTGAAACACAAAAAAAATTTGGTGACATGTAGAAACCTATTCACATATTATGGCACGAAATTCTAATTATGTGCAATTAAAAGAATTGAATTAGTATTAACCAATTAAGGAATGAAATTGCAGAAACCAATGGATTTGAGAGAAAAGATGAGTTGGGTACAGTTATTTGTTAATTGTATATTATATATACATATAGAATCAGCCAAAATAGAGATCTGAAATTGAAGCTTGCTTACAAAGAACATTGACCAATTAAACCCAAAAAAAAAAATTATAAGCATGTGTAGAACGTAAAGGGCTAATCTAAATATAAGGAGGGTATATGAACATGAATTAATGCATATCAATTGATTTAACATAAATATATCTCCATAAAAATGCACGTGGATTGATGTAAAGGAAAAAACATTAATTAATTCAAAGAGAAGTACAAAGAAAACATAATGATCGAGAAATATGAGATCACGTATTGCAGATTCAACATATGTATATATAAAATTCACGTATTATCAAATTAATTTTGATATACGTGATAGATGATTATGAAAAAAAAATTACTACCTTCTCAGAGTTTCGTGCTGATAACGTGTTATAAAGTGAGAGGAAAAGAGAATAGAGAAAACTCAAAGAACTTTTTATGTGTATTATTGAAAACCAAAGCCCTATATTTATTGGTAAGAATCGGGGATACAATGGTAATAATTTCTAGGGCTACAGGGATACAAATGTCATTCACCAATAAACTTTAATAGACTTTCCATTTATAACTGATTATCATTTATCGATTCTTTATCAAACCATAGTTCTGTTACTTCCATCAATATGCATATGGTTGCATATGTTAGGAGGGTTGGAATTTCTCACATTTGACGAGCATCTCGCACGAGTTTGGACCATCTGATCTTTACTCCATCTTCAATCTTCAATCAATTTTCTTTCATCGTATGTTATTTAGGCATTAATTTGACATGTCCCCTTTAACAAAATCAAATCAATTTGTTGTTCATTTGTTGAACCTAATCTTGATTGTGCCAAAGTTACAACATTGATCTTCAACCTATTGATTTAGTCGCAAGTTACTTTTCAATCAGCATTTTCAATTTTTCATTACATTCAGTTCTCAATAATACAAGCCATCAAAATTTTCATTGAATTTTCATGGGACCATCCTAAAAAATGCATCTCAATTCTTAGATAGCGACCGAAATTGTCAATAGAATCTAACTTGATAAAATTATATACAAGAGTTTCTCACAACGGTTTAAAATAGATTTAGACAATATTGGTCATAGATTTAGTGATACTCTTAAATTAAGAAATAAAGGGAAAGAAAAATCATCGATTTAACGAGAACTCAGCATGTTCCATCAAGACAAGATGAATAATACTATCTAGGGTCATTTTCAAAAATTAATGGCGTCAATTGAACGCACTTGTAAAAGTTATTTTTGAAAAGTTAATATCGTCAATTGAATACATCTTATTACAGATTTGATCATAACAACTGTTAATCGCGATATATGTACATATACGTCGCTTGGGGCAGCAAGTGAAAGTTCAAGGAGTGTTCAAGCTTGAACTCAAGTATATACAATCTACTTAAGTTGAACTCAAGTCACAAAAAGTAAAGCTCAAGCCTCAGTTTGCTTGAGGTTCACTTGGATTTTATCTAAAAGTTCCCTTTGTTTAGAAATTGACTGAAAAGGTCACATTCATTGCACATATTTTATAGGCATATTTGAAGCTATGTTTGTCTCTACAACCAAAGATTCCTTGGTGTCTTTTTGCAACCTATATCTGTTTATAAATAATGCTTGCATTTTACAATTAGTTGGCAAGACAAAGAAGAAATATCTCAAGGATTAGGAAGCTGAGAAATGAAGGAAAATGTGAAGCAAAGGATGGGGTGGGAATTGAAACTGTTTGGAGGGCTTTGACTAAGGAATTATGTTTAGTGATGCCAAAAATTGTTATCGACTTGGTAAAAGATGCTGAAATCTTGGAAAGAGATGGTGGCTTTGGCACTGTTTCTTTCTTCAAATTTGGCCCTGGTGAGTGACACTAACTTTAACTTCAAATCATTTAAGGCTCGTTTAGCAGGGTGTCTACTTTTTGTAAAAGAGCATCACGTAAAAGCGGCATTATACTAGCTTGTTATAGAAGAACTAATAGCTAGATATATTGCTTTTAGAAAATTATTCAAATATATTCAAAAGCATCTTTTTAATTTTAGAAACATCTTTTAACTTTTCAAAAGTCCTATCAAGTGAACCCTTGGTTCATTTATCAGACATGGACTCAATGTTACTCTTTTGCAATATAAAAACATAGGTTTTAAGTATTAACTTGAATTCTAGTTATAGTTACAATTGGGTAGACTTGCATTCAAAATTTTCTTATAAAGAGGTGTTGCCCAAGTCAATTCTTAACTTAGTACCGTTTGGTAGGTTTCTACTTCTTACAGAAGAACTTTCTAAAAAAGATATTTTAATTAGTGTTTGAAAACTTATTTTTAAAGGAATTTTTTTCCTCTCTTGAAAGAGTTTTTCAAGAAAGCAACATTGGATAAACTTCATTTAAAAATTCTTTTAATTAGAAGAAATATTTTTATAAAATTAATCAAATCGATTCAAAAGTAGCTTCTGAGTCTTAAAATCTCATTTTGACTTCTTAAAAATCATGACAAATAGACCTTTAATGTCATCTTCTACTAGAAGCCTCGTCATCACCTTCGTGGTAAGTCATATTGAAAAAAAACATTGAATGCTCTAATGCCAATTTAATTACACTCATCCTTACAATTGATTTGTAAAAAGAAATTGCCAAAGTGATATAAACCCGCAAGTCATGCCTTAACTTAGCTACTTTGATATTCACTCAAAATTGTTACAATACTCTTAAAAAAAAAAAGCATGTTTGCTTATGCTGTTTTTTCATTGTTATTGTTAGATGTGTCTGAGTATAAGTTATCGGAAGGAAAAGATCGTGGAATTCAACGAGTCCCTATATCAGATTGGGCTACAGGTAATCAAGGGGGGTCGACTAAATCTTGGTTTTAAGTTGTATAAAACAACTTTCCAGCTTGCTTCGATGGGAAACTCAGAAACTTTAACCGATTTTCATGCAGTACATGAGGCCGAACACGAAAAAATCCATGCGTTAGAGGAAACGATGAGGCATGGTTGCAGAGCCGGTCCTGAGGCGAGGCGGATGAGGCTTGCACCTCAAGCCAAAAATCGAAGGGGGCTTCTCCATCGAAACCGGTTTGAGAAATGTTCTTGAGAGGGCAGATTGTGAAATGGTTGCAAACAGCAGGGATGGATGAAAATCATGAAATCATTGAAATGGGCGCAGACGGTAGACAAATTCAATTGGTTTTGGCTGTGAAATGGATGAAATGGCAGCAGACGGCAAACAGCAATTTGGGAACCACAGACAACAGCACCGGCGACTGTGAAATGGCAGGGATGGATGAGATGAAATGAAGAAGATAAGATTGTTTTAGGCTTTTTAGTTTTATTTTTTAGTAGCGGGCTTTTGTTTTGGGCCCCTTATTATTATTATTATTATTGTTATTTATAGATAGAATCCAAATACACATTTTAATTAGATTTGGTTAAGAAATCAAACATTAAACCATTCAGTACAAATTCAATTTTCACCCTCTCTCTGTGACGTCATTTATCTCTCTACTGTTTTTGCGTTGCGCTCTCTTATTCTCTCTCTATATCTACACATATGTATGTTATTGCTGGATGGAATCAAATCTTCAGTTTTTAGGAGCTTCATTTTCGAATTTTTTTATTTTGGTTTAAATGGATTTTTATTTACGGGAAGTCAAGAATTGGACGTATTTGAGTATATGTTTCTTCACTGGTTTCAAGATAATATGTTTATTTGTTTTCTGTTTATTCTTGCATTGGCTATATATCAATGTATTTGAGTATATGTTTCTCGACTTAGAAAGAATAAAATAAAAGTGCAGAACATGATTAAAATGCTTTATTTTTTGTGGAATGAATCAAGATCTTTACGTTGATTTTGGGCGCCCAATTTATTAAGTTCGCCTCGAGCCCCAAAAACCAGAGGACCGGCCCTGAATAGTTGCTTTCATCAAGTGCCTCGAAACTTTTCTCAAATTGATTACACGACTTGCATATGTTTTGATTTTGTAAACATGTTTTGACTCTTGGAATATCGAATGTATAACATCCAGTCGAGGGCTTGTTGTTCCTTCTCTAGTCTACTCGTTAAAATATTATTTACACTATCTTACTTTATGTTGATTTGATGATGTGAAAGAAGAATATGAGATAATTTTAATTTCGACATAATTGAAGTAGATTTGACTAATATAAGAATGAAAAACATTCATTAGATTATTAAGATCATACAAGTGACAATTAATATTGTTGACCTTAAAATATGATCAACAAAGTCCCGACCACCTCCCTGTCCACCCAACCGTCACCTACACATTGGAACACACTATTAGGGTACAAAGGTTGCAGATCTGGCTGGTGATCGTTTTAACTCCGACAATCAAGTCAATTTTCGAACGAAGAAAAACGATTGCAAGAGAGAAAGGGGAAGAAAATTTGTCACGTCACCTAATGCTTAGCATAAGGTAAGCGCATGTGCTTAGGAGATCAATTCCATGTATACATATATGAATCAAACTACTTGTACATAATAAAGTTATGTAATGATTTACAGACATGATGTGTTAAAAAAAAGAGTGAAAGCATTTTTTTTTATTTAGTTGAAAAAATTGTAACACAATCATATCTCATCAGATTATATACATGTAAACTATTATGTAAATAATTATATACATGTGATACAACCGTATATATATAGAGAAAGGGAAATGGGGGCAAATGGATCGAGCCCGAGCCCAAGCCCAACTTGAGTTTACTTTATTTAATTAGCCTAATCCAATTAACATAATCAATCAATGCCAAATTGGTCGATTTGGAATCCCCTCTGCCACATTATGCTTCGTGATTTATAAAGAAAGCAAATAGCGAAGGAGACTACCTTGTTAGAAACTGCCATTATGTATAGAGGAAAAGACTACTTGTCCATGGGCCTTGGACGATGGCGCCACCCATAGGTGGGGGCCCTGGACGTATAGCACTAGCACCCCTCATATGTGGAACATGTCTATGGCTCAAAACCTCAGCAATAGTGCACGCCTCACAGCACTCCTCTGATCTAGGAAAGATTGCTCCCTCTCTATGTTGGAAACGAAGGGATTTGGAGAAGAGACAAAAGGAATAAAAAAAAATACAGTAATAAGATGAAGAACATAAAATAGTCAAGAACAAATTTCAAGGTTCGAACGTGGAATCACTGTCCTCAAACGATATTTACCCCATCTCGAGATTGAATGGGATGCTTAAGGGTTTTAGCAGATGGTTTGTAGGATTATATCAAGTCTTGTAAAGAATTTAACACTAAAGCACAAATGCAATCCTCCAAAATTTTAAGAACACAAAAGAAGATATTAAATATGAATGTAAATCAATAGTTTGATTCAATGTGGAATGATATGTGGATCACAAGATATTTTTCAATGTTTTTAATGTGTTTGTATCGATCATTCATCAATTATTATTATGCCTCAATCAATACACCACTAAATGGTGCTAAAACATGATGAAAAGTGGCAATCTTTAATCCAAAATCGTCCTCAAGTTTCAAATTGAAAAATCGGTTAACGGCTATTTTTTAACACTATGCGTACGCATAATAGAAGCAAATTCGATTTTGTTTTGGCCAAAACAAATCTTGTGTACGCACAACTTCTTTTGATTCTACTAATTCCACAATTGAGCTTAACAATTAGCCCATTATAATTCTACTGATTTTGAACAAATATTCAATACTCTGTCCATCATCTCGTCAATAAATTTACAGAGTCCCTCAGTGGCAATGGGAAAGGAGGGAGGAAGAAAAACTGAATCTCAAATATCGAATACAAATTCCACACTTTCGAATGTTTTGCATTCCAGCAAACATTTCTATAAAAAAAAATTATGTTTTAGTTGATCTAAAATGTCAACAAATATACACTAATTTTTGTAATCAATCTTTTTTAAATAATATTTTTTTTTATCTTTGAACTTACATTTTTTTTTTTAATTTGACATAGTAGAAGGATATAATTTAGCCCCTGTTTGACGCCCATTATTTGGAAAATTAAGTGCTTGTTTGTGTCCCATTATTTATGTGTAATGTATTATGTAATAGTGATTAATGTTGAAATATGTGGTTAGAAAAAAAAGTTTTTGATTTATGTGTAATATTATTTTGATGAAAAATGTATGGTTGAAAATGGGTACTGTAAAAAAAATAAAGTGATAAAATGTAGAAGAAAGGAAGGCAAACAAAGCCTAAATAGTTTTGAATAGTATTTGTTGGCGAATGTGTGGTTAAAAAATAAAGAAATTTTATTGGTTAGTGTGTAGAATATTTTATTGTGTGAATATATGATGAAGAATTATACTGTAACAAACAATTTAAAATTTTAAAAATTATCAAACACACCCTTAAAATTATTTACTTATTCATAAATAACGTGCTGCTCACCGACCTCTTCCTCGCCAAATCCATGAATCACAAGGATAAATAATTATACCCAAAACAAAAAAAAAAGGGAAAAAACTCAAAAACTTTAGGGGGGGTGTTTGAACCCCCATTATTTGTGAATAATGTATTATAAAATAGTGATTGACGAGAAATGTTTGATTAAAAGAGAAAGAAAAGTTTTTAATTTACATATAATATCATTTTAATGAAAAATGCATAGTTAAAAATGAATACTGTAGAAAAATTAATGTAGTAGAATGTGATAGAATAATTGTCAAACAAAGCCTTAATATCATCGAGATTCGAGCATCCGATCAAATAATTTACGAGATTTTTCTTTCAACAGACCCCACACGTTTTCACGTTGAACTCCAGTTTTTGTATTCTTTTTTGCCCTTTACACGTACAAAATTTAAAGTTTATAATATAAAATTGATAAAATACTGTCGACGATTCCAATAATTAACTGCCACCACTCTTTTGTTCGCTGGAGAAATTTATTCTCAAATCATTGTTCATCTAATACTCCCACTTTTCTTGTTTTTATCCCAGCTCAAATTACAACTCAACAGCCCGGGTTCTGTAAGTATCTCTTTCTTTTAAGATTTCAATCGGACAAGTGTTAGTGAAAAACTGAATGAACCGATTAAGTTTGGCTATTTTTTTAGCTGGGTTATACTATTTACAGTTGTCATTGCGATTAATTTGAGAAATTATATCTGACTGAACCTTGTACATTTCAATTTTTCTTGCTTTTTATTTAATAAATAAATATGAGGAGGAAGGGTAAAAGTAGGCTGCTAACCAGAATGAGCTGTATCAGTGTATGGGATAGATGGCTGATCTGTCTCTTAATTGGGTTGATCTTGAACTGAGCCTTACTTTGATAAGATACAATTTCAAACCTGAAAGTGAGTGGGTGGGTTTTTGTTGTAACCCTGCAACAATTGTTTGGCAATTAGTAGTGACTAGATTAAACAAGATTTATAGCATTTATGCTATCAATTATTGACAAATCCAACTTTCCAGACATACCAATAGTGGATTAGGATTTGAACATTGTCAACCTTGTTTTTCCCTTTTTTTTTTCATTTTTCTTTTTCCAAAATTAGGATTTGAGTCATTGATCTGAATTTCGGTGAAGACAATTGTTACCGTTAAAGAGGGCCAAAATCAAAGTAAAGGGTGAGAATTCAGGCGCAGCCATGGGTGGTGAGAGATGAAGATTTGACTAAATCTTGAATGGAGCATGATACATAAAGCATTTTAAGTATCATGATTTCTGATTACCTTGTCTCTCGGAAGCCTGCCTTATGCAAGATAAGGACTCAGCGCCCCCTTCTCCTCTAGTGGAGGCAATCCGCAGTAATAGTCTGCTGCAGAGACCTTGAGCACTATATGTCAGTATATACGCATAGTCTATGCACATTTATCGTCTCATAGCACATGATTTATCTAGCCACCCATCTTCAGATTTCATAATATTGTATTTCCCTTAGGTGTTTAGCTCTTAATATCTCCTTACATAGAAGTATGTGGGTTCTGTTTTTCCATTTCTGTTTGTGGAGTAAAAGTAGATGGAAAATATTTATTTTAGATGATTTAATTATTAAGTATTGAATGAATGCCCGTTGAAAGCTTTTTATTCTGTTAAGACTGAATTGGAATATGCATTAAGGAGTCAAGTTTGTAGCTAGAGTATCGACTTGAATTGGATCGAAAGCACTTTTCATTTTCCAAATTCATAGTGTTTGCTTAATTAAAGTGTATCTAAATCTATTTTTGTAATGATCATTTATGGGTTTGAATGTTTGGTTCTTTTTATTATCATGTTCGAGTTGAAGAAAATTTGATTTATTTGTTTTGGGAAGCATTTATTGCGATTGTTATACTAGCATAGAAGAAAATTTGACAGTAGCACTTGAGCCTATCATGTTGACATCAGCGTTTTCTACGAAATAACAAACTTGGTATGATGGAGTGTAAACTGCTTAAGATAGATTTATGTGAAATTGCTTTAAGAAAGGTAAGGCCAGTAAGGATAGATTAAGTAGAATTCAGTGAGACCCTTTATATTGATTGGAGAGGTGACGAAGAGTGAATCATTTGGTGCAGATAATGATGGATTTAACATAGAGAAGTGAAAGAAAAGAAAAGAGCGGATGAAAATTTATGTTACTAGGGGAGGTTTTCAGAAAATTGTCGAAGATGTCATCATGAAAATTAAAATATTTATGTTGTTGTTGGGGGGGGGGGGGGGGGGGGATGTAACACTTTACAAGTAAATTTTAGATCTTTCCCTGCCCTTTTCACAATAAATCGATAAAAGTTACCTGAATCGAAGGGTAGTGAGATAACGGATATGCAAGAGCTTATTCTGATTGTGTATATTTGCAAACTCTTGTTTAGAATATTTCAGTTTTTTAAATTTCCACTATCCATCTGTTGAGAGAACCACAAACAAGAAAGAAAATTTGTTATTACTAGAGTTATATTCTTCAAAAACTTGCACTTCTGGTGTGGTTCGTGGGATGGTTGCAATTTGAAATTAACCATCTATTCTCAGGTCGTAAGAGTGATCTTAAGATTGGCTACCAATAGATACTTCCAGAATGGAATACCTACCAAAGGAAATCTCCGGAATGGACCGCGGGAAACTCACACTGATGGGGTGCACTGTTTGTGTAATGCTCACTCTACACTTTGCAATACAGCTTGTATCACAACATTTCCAATCTTGGAAGAAGCCAAAGGAACAGATGGCAATAGTAATTATCGTCCTCATGGCTCCGTTATATGCCATTGACTCCTACGTTGGTCTGCTAGACATTCGTGGGAGCGCAACATTTTTCACATTCTTGGATTCTGTCAAAGAATGTTACGAGGCTCTGGTAAATGCTCAATAACTACATTTTCTATAACACCACCTTGTGGTTTTAGTCATCAATGCCAAGTTCGAGAATTGATGCATCGCACTCTACAATTGCCTGCTTTATCTCTATTTCTTTGGGGAAAAATTAACTGTCTTTTATTGAAGTGTAGGTGATGGCAAAGTTTTTGGGTTTGATGTATACTTATCTGAACATATCGATCAGCAAAAACATGGTGCCTGATGAAATCAAAGGAAGAGAAATTCACCACTCATTCCCAATGACTCTATTCCAGGTGGAGCTCCTCGTTCTTCTGTTTTGCATATTCTCTTCATATTATGCTGGAAAAAAATTCAAAGAATTATCCTGTTGTAAAAATTATTTATCTGAACTTTGGAGAAAGATCAAAATGCTTAATTATGCACTCACGTCCCTTGTCTTTACAAAGAAAAATAATAAAAATAAACCAATCAATAAATCTTCGCTTGAATCTGCATATTTACGAGTTTTTCCATCTATTCTTAACCTTCGTGAATCACAGTAATCTGTCTAAATGCATCTTTGTGCCGAATGCAGCCTCACACTGTCCGACTGGACCATAAAAATTTAACGCTTCTCAAGCAATGGACATGGCAATTTGTTTTAATTCGCCCAGTTTGCTCTGTATTGATGATATCGCTTCAACTTCTTGGAATATATCCCAGTTGGCTCAGCTGGACATTCACCATGATCTTGAATGTTTCAGTTTCTTTGGCATTGTATTCCCTTGTGGTTTTCTACCATGTTTTTGCGAAAGAGTTGGCACCACACAAACCACTCGCCAAGTTTTTGTGCGTCAAAGGCATCGTCTTCTTCTGCTTCTGGCAGGTATACTTAACGTATATAATCTTTTGAAATACCAGTTTCAAGATACCAAGTGACCAAGGATTGACGGGTGTATAGCATGCATGTTCTTTGCTTTATCTTCTTCTACGAACATTAAACGATTATGAAATGATTATTCAGATGCATTTTCCATCCTTTTTCCAGGGAATTATGCTTGACATTCTTGTAGCAATGGGAATAGTTAAGTCAAATCATTTCTGGCTTGATGTCGAGCATCTCCAGGAAGCTCTCCAGAACATGTTAGTGATTGTGGAGATGGTTTTCTTCTCTCTTCTGATGCAATATGCATACAGTGCTGCACCTTACCGCACTGCTTCAGTTTCAGACACCAGTGGCAAAAAGAAAGAGTGATTGGGAATCTCATATATACGTCGAGCGACCTTATTGTTGTACTGTATTGTGGTGTATGCTGGTGTCGATTCATGCCGAGACTTTTTTCGCGTGTTTAATAAATATATGGCATAAATGTTGCACCAGACGTTTTCTTGAATGTTGTTGGAAGGCAAGTAGATGCTAAATAAGAGATTTTATAATTTGATATTTTCTCGAGAAATGCATATTTAGCCTTTGTTTGGTGGAAATTAACATTAGGATCCGTTTGATTGCAAAGATGAAATTTGGATGGAAAGAAAACGAATTTCAGAAAATTAAATTGCCTAAAAATTTTTACTGGGATTTCTCAATTAATAATGTTTGATTTGTATAATTTTTCACTTGAAAAATATTGAAATAAGTGTATTTAGTTATTCATTTGGTTTTGTTTTTCATGAAAATTGTCGATTTAAGGGATATTCTATTTCACAATTGTTCCTAAAACTTGTTTCCAAAAAAATAATAATAATAATAATAAATCATCTATCTTTTGGTGTTCGTTTAGTTTTATTTTACATGAAAATTATCAATTTAAGGAATATCATCTTTTACAATTGTTTCTATAATTTGTTTCAATTGCCAAAAAAAAAAACTTAAAAACCTCAAAAAGCTGGAAAAATTTGATGTGCCACCGATTTGGGGAAAATCATTTCCATGGAAAAATTCTACCATCAAACAAGTCAAAAAATGGGAAATAGAATTTAATTTTCATTTTCCATGAAAAAGAAGTGCCTATCAAACAGGACTTTAGTAAATTTTGATAAAAGTTATGAAATGTGGGGTTGATCTTATAAAATGTGGTTAAAATTAGTAGTTGGCTTTGACTAAATTTAAAATCTACCAAAGGGGGCTTTGAAGTTTAAAGGACGTCCACGGCTGTTATACACGTAGGACGCCTATGAGAATGCGAACAATAAAGGATTATATCAATTATTATGTCTATATGGAACGATTGATTTATAAATAAAATAAAAAATAGAAAACAAAGAAAAAGAATTTATCACTGATGAAATCGCATTAAGAACGATGGTGCTATTCAAAATTCAATTCTAAAACAAACGACTTTAATGGATAAAGGCACTGCATAAAGCTTCTGACGATTCGTTTACGGTGGAATTAGGGTGTATAAAAATTTAAGATATTTTGGGATTATTTGTGGAGGAAGAAAGGCGATGGGGATTCTGGAAGAGCTTCGGTGGACCGCTATGAAACTAGTGAACGTCGGAAAATTTTATGTCGACTCTACTGTCAATGAGTCCTTTAAAGGTTTGACTTCTCCGTCACTCTCTGCACGCACGATCACGTGTATGTATATGTATATATACAGATCTTCTGGGTGAAATTTTGAATTATAGATTCGATTATTATGTCCTCCACCACCACTAATTCTTATTGGTACGAAGAGAAATCATGAAATTTTTGACGAAATATATCGATTTATGACTCATTACCATAGCAATAAATATTTTTTTCAATTTTAGGAGCAGTCTAAGATTGTAGCAGATGTTATTTAGGTTTTACTTGTTAAATATTGTTGTTATCTCTTGAAAAATTCACTTTATTGGTACAAATTTATTGTGAATTATCTTTGTGTCAAAATGATGAATAAGCATAGATGACTGAACATTGATGATTCATTTTGGACTGAGATGTTGATGAATACTGGTAATTGATGATCAAATCCCAGTGACCATTAAAATAATCTTTACGAGTCATTTGGATATGAAATATTAGCTTCGCTTTGTTCACTGTAACGGTAACCTGAGAGTGTGGGGTTGGAGGAGAGTATAACATTGAACTGCCGAAATAATAGTTAACTGTAAAGAGAAGAATTTCCTGAATTAGCATTATGTATATATTTGAAGGTTTCCTACGAAGAATCTCTAGCGGATGAACTCTTCTTCTTAGGATTAATCTTCAATTGCAATGCATCTACAAGGTGTGTTTGCTGGATAGCTGGAATGAGTGGTTAATGGTTTGATTATTGGCTCTTATTGGATTCACCCTCTTATTTAGGTCCTGGGCTTTTGAAAAATCAAAATCTTTTTTTGAATTAAAAAGCTACGTTTCAACATGTTTAAATAAGTGTTTGGAAGTATTTTGTTTGGCTAGAAGAGCTTTTAGAAAAAGTTGACCTGAGGTAGCTTAGGGAGTTATTCTACATGAAGCAGGAGCAAAAGCAAAAGCATAAATGGAGCTCCTGTCTAACATGCCCTTAAGGTTGTTGGAAGCCTTTGACAAGCTGATTTTATGTGGAAGAGCTCCGGTGATCTTAATTTAACTTGGCAAACAGGATAATATCCTTGGTCTTTAATGGTCCGTTTCTGTTCATCGACACTTAAAAAGAAAAAGTTTGAAAGATAATAATGCCTCTTTTTTAAAATTATCCCAACGACCTGAACTGCCACACTAAGACTTGGGAAATTGGATTTTCATATATATGTTGGTATGAATTGCACTGGCATGGGTCGGACTGCAACCAACACATTTACCAGACTCTGTACTTGGTTCACTTTCACCTATATCTTCTTCTCATCTTGCTAATTATCTGTAGGTGGAAAGCAAGTCTATGCAAACGTGAAGGAAAAGTTAAAGGGTCTACCCATTTCACCCCATTCTGATGGGAATAAAAGGCAAAATTATGTGGCAGTGGAAGAGATGCAAGCTAAACTAGAGAAAATGCAAGAAGACATTGCTAACATAAAGAGTTCTGATGGGAATAAGAAGCAAAATTATGTAGCGGCGGAGGACAAGCAAGCAAAACTGCAGAAAATGCAAGAAGACGAGAATGACATAAAGGAGCAAAATGAGATCATTCACAGAGCAAAACAATTGGAACATGTAAAACAGTTCCCTCATGACCCTCTCAAGAGCTCAGTCACGGAGGTAACTGGTCGGAAAAAGATTTTTATTCGTTCCCGTCTGTAAATAAGGTAAATATGTCAACCAATGATCAGAAGAGTTGTACTGAATATTGTTAAGTAGGAGTACGGTGATGTCTTTAAAGACCTTTATACATATGAAATCATAGGTTCAACACGTCTGATGTGGAACTGTAGTCCATCTTGTACAACAGCCCCCACCCGGAAAAAATAGGACGAAGACGACTTTCTTCTTAATTTCATTTGCTCAAACAATTTTACGAGGACCCTGATTCCTTAAATGATGTAGATGGAAGCAACTAATTTCAGCTAGTCTGAAATGTTGCCAACCCTTAAGCAGATGGAAGCTTTGACAAGATTTTAACTTCTTTTCCTACATTGATTGATGTAGAGTCACCTACCAAATCACGTGGTAGAGTTGTCATATGGCCGTAGATTGGTATGGACACACATTTAAGAAGATAAATATTGTAGAGAATTTCGGCATATTAACCGCCAGCACAAGGGATCCTAGAGTCTGATACATACTCCTAAACACAGATTGAGACCATAGCATTCCACACACAAAAGAAGACGCCGAGAAAATCTTAAAAACACAGGAGAGAAGTTCAACTGCCCAACTGCTGCCATTTACTTAGAATGCTGCTTTGTTTTTCTCCCTTTAGGCTTAAGATCATAGAATTCCACAAATGAAAGAAGATGCTGAGGAAATCTTAAAAACACAAAAGAGATGTTCAAGTATCCAACTGCTGCCATTTACTGAGGATGCTTTTCTCAGTTTTGGCACCATCGAATCATCCAAAAACGAGCACAAACAAATTGTTTCATCAGAAAGATCCTTATCACTTTTTCTGTCTTTTGATTGTCAATTGAATCAACATTATCAAGACAGCCTTGTTGCATTTCTGCTTGGTCCATTAATTTTCTAGTACCAGTGAAATATTTCCTTGGTGCAATGTCCTGAACTTTCAATGGCTTGGGTTTCTCGTTTAAGTTCTGTATACATAAAATAACATATCGACGTTAATATCATTTCAGTACGAATTTGTTGTCTTTGAAGTCATTTTAGTGTGAAACATAACTAAAACGTTTTTGATGTCATCTCTTTTCATAGATAATTGTCGTTATGTATCAAGAAAAGACATCAAAATCATTTCAGACATGTTTCGCACTGAAATGACTTCAAAGACAACAAATTTGTATTGAAATTTTATTGAAGTCGTTTATTATATTCACAAAAATCATGTCGTTTATTTGCGTGAAATCAAAATGTAATTTCGACTTACCGAAATGGATTTGAGAAACAAAACAATAATTTACCTAATCTGAACATATCAATATGGATTCATCCTTTTTAATTCTTGAACGAAAGAAAATCATTCTTCGGATCGGAGCTTCCAACATAAACATGTAAACAATGTTGATCAGTTTCTAAAATCAAAGTATAATAAAAGAAATTAGAAAATAAAAAAAATAGAATGCAAGTGATGGATTTTTGGTCGAGGCAAGTGTTGGACCCTGTCCTTAAGATGAAATTATCTCGCATCGGTGCTAACGATTTTTCGACAATCATCTCCCAAGATACAACGATCACGTTAAACCATAGGAGTACTCCAAATGGCTTCGACCAACGAACTCGAACGGAGTTCTCTCTCTACCATAACCATGATTTTGAGTTTTATTTATGTTTCCAACTAGAACAAGAATTTGTACTGAAATGATTTCTGGTATTATAACGTGTTCAATGTCGTTACATCTGTCGTAACGACCTCAATATCATTATGTAAAAGTAATACATGTGACGTCAATCCCAAAAATTACTGAATGGCTAACACATGTGCAACCTAAACTATTTTAGAACTCGAGAGCTAAAGCTCATGTCGGCACTCGCATCATGTACTATGTTTGTCCTAACGACTTCAATATCGTTATGTAAATTAGTATATCAGTAATGTTTTTGTACCAATGACATATATTGTTTCTTATCTTAGGAATGATTTCGATGCTATTTTATGAAAAATTACAATTTTCTTACTGGAACAACATCAATATTGTTGTGTCTCAGGAACGATTTCAATGTCATTATTTGAAGCATTATAATTTTTGTATTGGAACGACATCAATATCAAATATAACGGCATTTGTATCCTTTTAGAAAAATTATAAGATATAAAATTTGTTGGTCTGTAATGTGTGAAAAAAATAAAAATAAAAATAAAAATCGGCATGAGATGGTAAAATGACTTTAATGTCGTTCAAATAGTACAAAAACAATAACATCTTGGAAAAGCAACATAATGATTGTAGGGTAGCTTTATTAAGTACAAAATAATAAAGCTACAAGTCACGCCAATATTACAACTTTAAGTTTCACAACTAACTGTTTGACCCATGCAAGTGGAACGAACATTGGCATGGTTACCATCGTCGTCCATTTTAACACGTTCCTCCTCACTGTTCATGTCTAAACTGTTTTTTTGACCCTCAATTGGCAAGAAACATCATCACCAAATTCTTCGCGATTGTCAACAATTTCATCCGAAATGGTTATGCAAAGAAAAGTTTCTCTACAGACAGATACAAACCACTTCACATTATTGTCACAATCAATGACGATCGGTGGTGCTAGAGCCTCATGCATTATAGGGTTAAGAGCTGACATCTCCATTTTGTACAGTCTTGTATCGATCCCCAACTCTTCTTTAACTTTATCGTACAATTCCACATAAGAAATTGTATTCGAAACAAGAATAGGCGTTATTCTTCTTTTGTCATTTTCTGCATATTTCCATTTCCATACACCTTCAACTGACTCCTCATATTTAATCGGATAGCAAACTAATATCCATACCATATCCTCAGTATTATCCATAACTGCAAGTCAACATAAACATTTTAAAATTTCATCGAGTATCAAACTTCATATAGTACTAATAACGAGACATCTGACAATGAATTGCAAAAAACAATATGTAAGTCATTCGGTACAGCAAAAAAAAAAATGCATATTTCACAAAGACCCCCCCCCCCCCCCCCCCCCCCCCCCCGCCGGGGGGGGGGGGGGGGGGGGGGGGGCGCACAGTAAAAAAAAATAAAAAAAACAGGTGGGACCCCCTCATTGTGAGGGGGCTGTGAAACTGAGTGTACAGCTCGCCCGAGCTGTACACTCAATAAAACCCTTGCAAAAAACAATATGCAAGTCATTCGGTATAGCAAAAAACAAAATGCATATTTCACAATAAAAACAACAAATATAATACATTTCACTTCAATTAATAGGGTAATAAGAACAAGTTGGGTAGCAACCCATAATCAAAGCTCTAATTCAATGATAAAATAAATTCAAAGTCATTATTGACAAATAAACACCATAAACACAAAGTACAACAACATGAAGAAATGATTTAGAAAAATGGAGAAAAAAAGTAATCAAAATATTGAAATTTAATAACGCGTCATCTTCTTCTCCGAATACCCAACAAGAATGTTCTAAGTTTTAATTACCCACTTTAACAAAATCTTTCATGTTAAAAGATAAATTTCATTTCGATGAATCATCAAAATATAAATCTAACATATAAATGACTGAACTACTCTTATTGTTGACATTTTTAAGATGAAATTAGAATGCAAATATAAAATATTCAATCTTTCCCTTTCAGTAAAGTATAAACAAAAACTGAAAAGCGAAACTGTGGTATGTGAGATGGAAGCAAACCAGCATCTCTCTTGAAGTGGGCAATGAGGGCAATAGCGTTAGCCAATATTGTGGCAAAGATACCGATCTTGGATGTGGACACACTGCTCGGAAGCAACTGGTTGAGCATCTGGAGATTATCGACACTGGTGTAGAAGGCGGATCCGTAATTGTAAGACGTTCTGAAGGGGTTCGTCACCGGAGATGTGCTTGACTTGATGAAATCCCAAATTCCCATTTCTCTCTGTAATCGCGTGTCTGTGAAGGAAACTGATTGGAGTTCTAAGGAAAAGAAAAGCAAAGCAAAGTGTAGCAGGGAAGACTTGGAGGACTATGAGTCTCCTTATTCTCTCTTTTGCTTTACTTGTGAGTCTGTGACAGCTGTCCGCATATACAGTAATCTTTGTTAAGGCCATTTGCGAGTATGGAATTTGTATTGAGAGAGAATAAACGTATATGTATGAAAATTATTAATATATTTAATTGATTTAGTTTTCAATCTATAAAATAATATATTTGTTCATTTTTTATTGATGTGTAGATGAGAGAAAAAAGAGAGAGAATTGTAACGACCCAACTTTTATAAATTCGAATCTCTACCAATTTTTTTTATTATTTTTAAAGAAATTTAATGTGACAAATAATTGGTTATCAATTTATTTGAAGGTGGTTTACTCAAGTAAAAATTTAATACCTCTTATTAATAAAAAGGAGAGAACAAGCATGTGTCTCCGTCATATTTTATTCCTATATATTTAGAAAGACACAATAAATTTATATCTAAAATTCATGAATTAAAACATAATTAAACACGACCTAAAGTTTGTAACCAACCATTTAAAGATTCATAAAACTAATTCGAATACGTATAATACTTATTCTCTTGGTTTATTATCGCAACACCAAATTTGTTATGTTAATGTAAGTATATGGAAACCCACTAACACAAATAAATTAGTAAAAGGATCTTTCGTCAACTTGTCATTAATTTTCTATGAGTAACAACTTGGTGAGACATTTCACTATCAATTTAGAATTCCAGTGACCCCATTTCCCCCCACTAACTTCCAAAAATCTCAATTCATGCGATGAGATCAGATACACCCTATCACGTTTTATTCTGAATAATTAATCGCGAATAAAGTTTTGGCTCCACAAATAAAATAATGACAATAAATCATAGAAACACAATCAAATAAACCGTGTAACAAATTCTAAATCACAAATCCACGTAATAATAAAATTAAAACAAAGCTAAAAATAAAATCTTTACACATCTTACACTGAATTTGATTTATTAAGTCCAATGAATCCTGGCATTACAATTTCACCGCATCAAATACTCGGTAGGATATAAAAATTGATAATACGATCCCGTATAAAAAAAATAAAAAATATGTATCAAAAAATCGTACTATCTCATATCTTTAAATCCAATAAGAGCTCATATCATATTGTTGTACCAGAATGACCATATCATTCATATCATAGCATATCATATCATAACTTTAACTTTTCTGAACATATAATTCATCAACATGAAAAAAATATTCAAAGGGATAGAAAAACACTGAACCTCAATATCCTACCTTGTTAACTTGCTCTAATTTTGGAAGACAAAACAAAAGAATATACGTTCCAACAATCCCTTTCTCTGCCCCTGCTTACGTGTTGTGCATGTATATGTATATATTTTATTTTTTTGTGTCATTTTTGTCATGTGAAATAGATTTTATATTCATAGGCAATTGGTGTATCGTGAAGAAACATGTGAGAGTGAAATGAGGCTACGGACGAGTATTGGGAACTGAAATTTTGATTAAGTCTTGTCATTCAAAAATCAAAATCAGCACATTTCCCCTACACGTGTGTCATCCCCATTTAATTCAAAGTTTTAGTTTTAAGGAAAAAAATGGATAAAGATAAAAACAAAGTTGATTTTTAGCCCCTGTTTGGCCTCTATTTTCTAGAAATTAAAATGTGTAAAATAGTATTTTTTTGAAAAATAAGTGATTGAAAAAGAAAGAAAAATTTTCGATATACATGTAATATTATTTTATAAAAAATTATATGATTGATAAAAAGAAATATAATGTAATTAAATGGGAGCCAAATGGGGGCTTAACCTCTACTCACATGGCTTCTCATAACTCTCTCTCTCTCTCTTCTTTTCTCTTATATATATACGGTGCACACATGAGGGGATGAGCCCACGACAGTAAAGAAAATTGAATATTGATACATGTACACTATGGTGTACACTTTAGTGTACACTTTGTCCATGACATTACTCTATTGAATAGTTTAAATATCAAACAGTTTTTTCATCCAATTGACACTTGACAACAATGCAAGTGTCAAAAATTAGTGTACAAATAGGAAAGTTAAAAAAATCTTAGAATCCCTCATGTGAGAGGAGTGTACACCGGGTGTCAATCTCGTGTACACGTAGCAAAACTCATATATATAAACTACCTACCAAAGAATCTTGCTACATGTTATCTACCAAATTTTAAATTCATTAAATAATAAGTAAAAATATAATTTAAAGTTATATCTTTCAACCTCGATAACTTAGGCTCCGCTAACCCAAATTAACTTTTCTCGAGCCTAATATGCATCTTTAATTATGATCTATCCAACGAACTCAATATCCATATATTTATTATCGCTCCGTTAGTATCGACATTTTAAGCCAAATAAAACTGAAATTTACTTTATATATGCTTTAGTTCCTAAACTTTCAAAACATTAAAATATAGCATACAAAAAAATTTAAATTCTATTCTATGAAATTTTGGACATTACAAGAATTATCTGAAAAACAAAACCGCATCTCTCTAAAGAAAATATTTTCCTTATTTTTGATAAAAATATGGTCATATGACCAAAAGTTGAAAAATATTTTCTACGAAAAAATTGTCAATCAAACATTACAAAAATAGAAATTTAGATGTAAAAAATATTTTCACAGAAAATAAAACTAATCAACGCACTCTTAAAGTTTTTGAGTTTTTTTTCTTTCTATTTTTTGGTTTAATTATTTATCCTTGTGTTTCGTGGATTTCGCGAGGAAGAGGTAGATGAGCAGCACGTTATTTATAAATAAATAAATAAATTTTAAATTATATCCTTTTACTATGTCAAATTTAAAAAAAAAAAAAAAAAGAGTTACTTCAAAAAAAAATTTAAAAATATATTTAAAAAAGTTTGATTACAAAAATTACTATATCAACGTGACATTTTTAGACCAACTAAAACATAATTTTTTTTATAGAAATGTTCGGTAGAATGCAAAACATTCGAAAGTGGGGCATTTTTATTTGAGATTTACTGTTTCACCGTATTGTTTTTCTTCCTTCCTCCTTTCCTATTGCCATAATGCCATTGAGATTTGAGGGACTACAAATCTATTGACAAGGAGATGCATAGAGAGGGAGCAAACCTCCCTTGATCAGATGAGTGTTGTGAGGCATTATTGCTGAAGTGTTGAGCCATAGATCTGTTCTATATATGATGGCAGTCCTCTTTATTGTTATCTCTATAACGTGGTGGAGTGAATTCCAAATTGGCCAACTCGGCATTGATTGATAGGAAAAAATCATAATTAATAAGTTAAGTATCGCCCATTTCAAAATTAAGAATAAAAATTTCAAATTTCAAAAATCTAATATATATTAAAATTTATTTACCGTTTAATTAATTAATTATATATTTTATTAACTAAATATATTAAGGTCACATATATATATAATTTGGTCACAAATTAACAATTTGGTTAATCACATATTATTTTTTGGTTTCAAATCATAATTTTTATGTCACAAATTATTTTACAATTACAATTCAAAAAATTTATCAGTCACAATTTTTTCATCGTTCACAAATCAAAAATTTATAAGTCACAATTTATTTATCGATCACAAATCACAACTTATTATACAAACATAAATTATCCAATTATCGATCACAAACTAACAATTTTTTAGCTCACACATTGTTTCTTGACCAAATTTTATCTTTTTCATCAGTCACATATTGTTTATTGTTTACAAATTAACCAAATTTAATGGTCACAGTTAACCAAATAATTTGTCACCAACACTTGTGACCGCCATCCATCGTACCTATAGTACACCACCACCACCACCACCATATCTTCTATCTGCATCTACAGCACACTACACCACAACGACCACCCCCATCCCCACCAAAAAAAATCATAAAGTTGTCGCCATCTCACGCTACCACCACCTATTACAAATCAATTGTAAGGATGAATGTAATTAAATTGGCATTAGAGCATACAATTTTTCAATATGACTCACCACGAAGGTGATGACAAGGCTTCAAGTAGAAGTTGACATTAACTGTCCATTTGTCATAATTTTTAAGATGTCAAAAGGAGATTTTCATATTCAAATGTTGCTTTTTCTAAAAACTCTTTCAAGAGAAGGGGAAGAAAACTCATTTAAAAATAAGTTTTCAAACACTAATTAAAATATCTTATTTAGGAAGTTCTTATATAAGTAGTAGAAACCTGCCAAATGGTCATAAGTTAATAATTGACTTGAGCAACACCTCTTTATAAGAAAATTTTGAATGTATGTCTACCCAATTTGTAACTATAACTTGAATTCAAGTTAATGGTTAAAACCTATGTATTTATATTGCAAAAGAGTAAAATTGAGTCTCGGACAAATGTACTAAGGGTCCATTTGATAGGACTTTTGGCGTCACTAAACATAATTCCTTAGTCAGCCCTCCAAACAGCTTCAATTCGCACCCCAACCTTTGCTTCACATTTTCCTTCATTTCTCATCTTCCTAATCCTTGAGATATTTCTTCTTTGTCTTGCCAGCTAATTGTAAAATGCAAGCATTATTTTCAAAAAGACACCAAGGAATCTTTGGTTGTAGAGACAAACATAGCTTCAAATATGCCTATAAAATATGTGCAATGAATGTGACTTTTTCAGTCAATTTTTAAACAAGTGGAACTTTTAGAAAAAATGTCACCTTAAGCAAACTATAAGGTTGAGCTTTACTTTTTGTGACTCAGAGTTCAACTTAAGTAGATTATATATACTTGAGTTCAAACTCGCTCACCACTTGAATTTTCACTTGCTGCCCCAAGTGATGTAAATGTACATATACTGCGTTAACAGTTGTTTCGATCGAACGTGCAATAAAATGTAGTCAATTATGACATTAATTTTTGAAAAATAGCTTTTATTGGATAAAAGTGTAGTGCACAACTTTACAAGTGCGTTCAATTGACGCCATTAATTTTTGAAAAATGGTGCTAGATAGTATTATTCATCTCATTTTGATGGAACGTGTTGAGTTCTCATTAAATTCATGATTTTTATTTCCCTCTATTTCTTAATTTAAGAGTATCCCTAAATCTATGACCAATATTGTCCAAATCCATTTTAAACCGTCGTGAGGAACTCATTTATCTAATTTTATTAAGTTAGATTTTCTTGACAACGTGGGTTGGTATCTAAGAAGGGAGATGCATTTTAGGATGGTCACATGAAAAATCAGTGAAATTTTTGACCGTTTATGTTATTAAGAACTGAATGTAATGAAAAATTGAAAATCCAGATTGGAAAGTAACTTGCAACTAAATCAATAGGTTCAAGATCAATGTTGCAACTTTGGCACGATCAAGATTAGGTTCAACAAATGAACAAATTGATTTGATTGTGTGAAACGGGACATGTCAAGTTAATGCCTAAATAACATATGGTGAAAGAAAATTCATAACAAAATTGATTGATAATCGACGATGAAGTAAAGATTAGATGGTCCAAGCTCGTGACATGCTCGTCAAATGTGACAAATTCCAACCCTCCCTAACATATGCAACCATATGCATATTGATGAAAGTAACCCAGCTTGGTTTGATTATGAATTGATAAATGATATTCGATATAATAAATAATACTTGTCTAACTTGTCCACAAGCGAAAACTGTCAACGTTATGAAGAAGAAAACTAAGCAATCTTTAATTAATGTAAGATGTGACCTCAATAATGTAATATTTATTTCATGATCAATTCATGAAATATAGTTAAATATCCTATGATTTTTTTTTTTTTTTCAAAAATAACATTTTCAAACAAGTTCTGTGATAAATTTCTAGCATTTAATGAATTTGCTGGCTCCCTGCAGCTACTAAAGAAGAAATATATAGTATTCATATTCTCATGGTTCAGCTGGAAAGTTGAATTAAAATTTTAGTCAAATCAATAATTCATTTCAATAACGTATTTTATTGGATCCACAATTTTTCAAACACAAATTCTATCAACTTTTATCAAAATATACTAAAAATCTGATTTTTATATAAATCAAACAGGGGATAAGAACTTTAGACTTATCAATAAGTGATAAAATTTACTGGTTTAAATCTAGTTTTTCAATCCTTAAATAGCTATACG